CTTTCCTTCCCCTTCGCCACCTTCTCCATTTTCTCTCTCACTCCTCTCCTCCTCGTCTCCCCTTTCTCCTTTCCTTCTCCTCCCATCGCCTTCTCCATTTTATTTCTCCTCTCATCCTCTTCTCCCTTCTCCTTCACTTTTTTCCTTTTCTCTATCATCTCCAATTTCTCCTTCTCTCTTCCTTCTCTCCTTTCCCTCTTTCCCTCTTTTCTTCCCCTTCGCCACCTTCTCCATTTTCTCTTACTCCTCTCCTCCTCGTCTCCCCTTTCTCCTTCACTTTCCTCTTCTCCCTTCTCCTTCCCCCATCGTCTTCTCCATCTTCCCCTTCTCCTCCTCTTCCCCTCCAAAATATTTCAAACCAGTTTTGGAAATCACGAGGGTGAAATTAAAAGGGGAAGGAAGAGACACCACCAGGAGGTGAGAGAGAAGGGCCCGAGGGCCAGGAGGCCGTCATTCATGGATGTTCTCTTGCCTGCTTCTCCTCCTCAGGACAGGACCCTCTTCAAGAAAGTCTTCAACGAGTGTCCTTTGCACCTCACCTCGGCCACCGCCTGGACCCATCCACACACCAACGGTAGGTAGGCCTGGAGCAGATTCGGGGGAGCGACGGATGGGCGGGGTGGGTGGGTGGGAATGCATTAGTTTCTTCTGCCGACCTGAGCAGCATCTAGTCCAGGTGAAGTTCTCTTGTCCAGGGTTCTAGATCATAGAATGATCTAGAAATAAATTACCTGGTTTGCAATTGAGCTCCAGGATGGCTCCCTCATCTAGGACTAGTTCTTCTGAACATCTTTGGGGGGTGGCACTTCAAGTGGTCCTTGATTTACAACAGTTCATTTAGTGCAGGGGCCAGCAACCTGTGGCTCTGGAGCCGCATGTGGCTCTTTCATCCCTCTGCTGCGGCTCCCTGTCACCCGACGGCAGAGTCCGTCGCCAGCCAGAAGAGAGTCATGGAGACCATCTGTGCCCACCAAGGGTGGACGGCCTCTTTATGGCACATGCAATCGATCAGATTGGGACCGCCTTCATTCTGAATTTCCTCCCTGTTTTCCAGAGCTGCACTTAATTCTGGGGGCTGAGGAAGGAATCTTCGCCTTGAACCGGAGTGAGGCAGAACCCACTCTAGAACTGGTGAGACTGGCGGGGGCGGCAGAGACGGGTCTGAACGACAGAAGGGAGAAGGCGGAGAATTCCGTTTCTGGCTTGCTTTGAAAAATGTCATTCTCTCTCTCTCTCTTTTGTCCCTCTCCCTCTCTCAAGCTTTATCACAGCCGAACGACGTGGGTCTATTGCATGGGAAACGTTCTCATGTCCCTTTCAGGTAAGTTGGAAAAAGCGGGGAGAAATGCAACAAAGAGGATTAGGGGCCTGGAGGCTAAAACGTACAAAGAACGGTTGTAGGAATTGGGTATATTTAGTCTTGGTGTCAAGTTTCCGAAATACGCCCTAATTACCAGGGGGGACATGATAGCAGCGTTCCAATATTTGAGGGGTTATCACAGAGAGGAGGGCTATCAAGGTATCTTCCAGGACAAGAAGCTACGGATGGGAACTAACCAAGGAGAAATTTCCTGACAGTGAGAACAATAGCAATAGCAATAGCAGTTAGACTTATATACCGCTTCATAGGGCTTTCAGCCCTCTCTAAGCGGTTTACAGAGTCAGCATANGCTGGGAATAGGGCGGCATATAAATAAAATGAAACCTAAACCTAAGCCACTTTCTTCTGTGGGGTGCGTGCAGATTTAGTCCACGGGTGCCCACCCACCCACCTCGGCAGCTGCCCTTAGCGCAGGTTTCCTTTTCTTGCTGACAAATGAAGTTGATGCCCACTGAAATTTCTCTCTTGGGTAGCCCAGAGTTTGGGTCGCCTCGGACGAAACGGCGGCGGATCGACCCCGCGACCTCTTTCCTGCCAAATCCCTATTCCGTGGGCGGTGCTCCAGTGGCCCCATCCTGAGTTGGCCCTCGCCACAAAGTAATTCTGGGAGAGCCGAAGCTTCCCACCTCACCGCCAAATCAGGTAGGACTTTTCTCTCCCCCCCCCAAAAAAACCGGGAGTAAAACGATGGGAGGAGGAGGAGACGCTCGTAAACGTTGTGGCGTCCCAGGGTTACGTGATCCCCTTTTTTGCGACTCTCGGACAAGCCAGAGTGAATGAGGAAGCCGGATTCGCTTCACGACTGGGTTAGTCATTGATCAACCGCAGTGATTCACTTAACAACGGTGGTTAAATGGGGGTAAAACTCACTGAACAAATGTCTCACTTAACAACAGAAACGTAGGGCTCAGTTGTGTTTGTAAACCGAGGACTACCTGTAGAATTATTAAAAATATTAAAAATAGCTCGGCGCAGGGACCGTTTTCATCCCTGGGACAAGCCTTTTAGGGGTTTTTATATTCCTAGTAAAAGATGTTATAGGCCTAATTCTTAGGAACCCCAACGGAGTGGTGCGGTGGCCTGGAGGGGCAGCTCTCGCCTCACAATCCAGAGGCTGTGAGTTCAATCCTAGGTAGAGGCAGATATTTCTCTCAACGGGAATATCTCTGCTAAACAAAACTCCGCACTGGCGACAGGGAAGGGCATCTGGCCATTAAAACACTCTGCTCGCTCCATTCAGTTGCCCAGACTCCACCCTGCAAGGGATTATGGGAGTCATTAAATGAAGACGATGAATCCATAGGACTCAACGTGGATTTGGAGAGCCCAGAGTAAAATAATAAGGACTTAGTTTCGTTGCTGGGTTGAGATCTGGGGGGGTCAATATCCCCAGAGCAGGATTTGGTGGGGTGGGGTGCTGACTGTTACCTTACTCCCCTGCAGTCCCAGAACTGCGTTCGGATCCCTTGGATGAGAGGCCGCCCAGCCTTCCTCCGAAGCTGGAGAGGAGGCAGAAACTGGTAAGCGTGTTCAGCCTCCACATTGGGCCAACCGGTTCTGGTCCAAATCATTCCATTATTGCTCAAATTAAACTTTTTTTTTTTTAACTGAAGCTGTAAGGAAGAAAGAGTAACTTGGATTTTTCTTGGGGCCAAAATGCAGCAGGACAAGGAATCTTTCTTCTCCTCCTCCTCCTCCTCCTCCTCCTCCTCCTCCTCCTCTTCCCCCCTTTTTCCTTTCCTTCTCCTCCCATCGCCTTCTCCATTTTATTTCTCCTCTCATCCTCTTCTCCCTTCTTCACTTTTTTTCCTTTTCTCTATCATCTCCAATTTCTCCTTCTCTCTTTCTTCTCTCCTTTCCCTCTTTCCCTCTTTCCCTCCCCTTCGCCACCTTCTCCATTTTCTCTCACTCCTCTCCTCCTCGTCTCCCCTTTCTCCTTTCCTTCTCCTCCCATCGCCTTCTCCATTTTATTTCTCCTCTCATCCTCTTCTCCCTTCTCCTTCACTTTTTTCCTTTTCTCTATCATCTCCAATTTCTCCTTCTCTCTTTCTTCTCTCCTT